CGGATACCCCTCTGGCCAACATTCTTCCTGTGAAAACCTCTTTCATTCGTCCATCTACTCTATTTCTCGTGTATTTTGAATAAACCAAAAATATAACAAAGCTTTTATGCCTTAAAACTCTTTCAAAAAAAAAATAAGAAAAAAAGGAAATTAATTTTTCTCTGAATTAAAATAAGTTATATATAAGTTTATTTACAATTTTTTTCTTAATTTATTTAAAAACTTATTTTTAACTTATGTATAATTTAATCTTAGCTTATAGATATTTTATTTCATTTATTTTCATACTCGACTTTTTTTTTAAAATATATATTTTTAATTTATTTAAATAACCTGGACCCAAGATTATTTATTTAAATAACCCATTTTTTAGGTCCAGCCAATTTCTCAAAGAAGTTTGTTAAAAAAAATTTAATTTTTTTTTGAGAAATCAGTTACCCAGTAACTGAATTCTCTATTGGATTTTTTTTCTCCAAATTTTTAGTTATTTTTTTCCAGATTTTTATATTTCTTTTTTCGTTTTTCTCTAGAATTTATAAAAAATTATAATTAATATTTTAAAAAAAATATTAAGTTTAGTTATTAAAATATAAAAAATATATTTTTTATTTAAACTCAAATATTTTTTAAAAATTGTTTTGATTAAAAAATAAATATAATTAAAAAATAGAGATAATTTAATTAAAAATTGTCAAATAAAATATGTATTAAAAAATATATTTTAATATGAAATTCAAAATTTTTAAATATATAAAAATTAATATTATAATTTAGTAAATCAATTGTTAAAATTATAAATATGTTAATTAAGAATGACATTGATTTACGTGCGTTAGAAATCAAATGCTTTAGTGATGATTGTCATTGATGCAATGTGTCATTAATGACTATGTCATTAATGTAGTGTGTCATTGATGCAGTGCTTGGGGTTTCAGAGTGTCATTGATGCAATGTTTAGGGTTGATGAGTGTAATTGATTGAAGCCTATCTCCACCTTCTATTTAAATGAGGCCATTCTTGGGTTCAAATGTAGAGTACAATTGAGCCAAGTTTTCTTGTTTTCGTGTGTTAGTCTTTGTCTACAACAATATCTTCCTCTTTTTTCCGTGTGTTAGTCTTCTTTAATGGTGAAATCACTCAAAAAAACGAAGGGGATACTTTTGTATCCTCTAACCCAATGTTTTTATTAGTTAGTTCACGTATTACACTTGATGCGTTGAAAGCTAAGATCCAAAGAAAACTCAACTTACCACAACCACATTCAGTTGATCAACTTTACTTTCGATATCCACAAGTGGTAGGCGGAGGAATGCTTAATTTCCAGGTTGTCAAGCTTATCGATGATGAAGATGTTCATGGTATGATTCAAATGGTTCATTCCTTTAAACATCTTATTTTTGCTCAACTATATGCAGATCTCACACCAATAAATTCTTCTTTTGAAAACCAACATTCTTCCTATGAAAACCAACCTTCTTCCTATAAAAACCAACCTTCTTCCTATCAAAACCAACCTTCTTCCTATCAAAACCAACCTTCTTCCTATCAAAACCTACCTTCTTCCCATCAAAACACCCCTTCGGCCATAAGCTTGTCCAACGAAGGCCAGGGTATGCCCATCTGACTAATTAGTCTAACAAGGACGCCGAATACCCCTTCAGCTAACAAGGAGGACGAACACCCCTTCGACCAAGGATGAAGCCGAACACCCCTTCGGCCATAAGCTTGTCCAACGAAGGCCAGGGAATGCCCATCTGACTAATTAGTCTAACAAGGACGTCGAATACCCCTTCAGCTAACAAGGAGGACGAACACCCCTTCAACCAAGGATGAAGCCGAACACCCCTTCGGCCATAAGCTTGTCCAACGAAGGCCAGGGAATGCCCATCTGACTAATTAGTCTAACAAGGACGCCGAATACCCCTTCAGCTAACAAGGAGGACGAACACCCCTTCGACCAAGGATGAAGCCGAACACCCCTTCGGCCAAGGAGGAAGTCGAACACCCCTTCGGCCAAAGGGGAAGCCGAACATCCCTTCGGCCATAAACCCGACCGACAAAGGTCAGGGTACGGCCACAGAGGACCCCTCTAACTAATCAATACTTAAAACTAATTAAAGAACATCAATCCCCAATTACCCATATCCCAAGATAGAAGGCTCATCAGGCTCAAACAGGTCATTATAAATACGTGGGTGATGGGACAGAAACAGGTATGATTATTTAATACAACAGCCTTTATTGCTCAGTACCGAATACTTACTTGACCGTCGATGTGCCTTTGCAGGTACCCTCCCCACCATTTGGAGACAGGACTTAGCTTGTATTTCGAACTCAGAAGACTAATCAAGAAGGAGGAGAGGAGGACTGTTCTTAACAGGAACAATTATGATGAAGCTTACATATTTATGTTGAAAAAAATAAAGAAGGAAGCTTACCTATAAAGCTCGATAAATCACGTGGGACAAAATAAAGAAGGAAAATTTCTTAAATTATAGTAAATGCTAATTATGAAATGAAAAATGATAGTGTCCGAATTCTTGTTCCGAAAAACATTCCAAAAGATTAAAATATTAACTTAAATTATAAAATATTAAATTAAATAATTATTTAATAATAAATTTATTAAAAAATATTAATATTTTAAAGATTCGGATACCCCTCTGGCCAAGAAAGAAGCCGAACACCCCTTCGGCCATAAGCTTGTCCAACGAAGGCCAGGGTATGCCCATCTGACTAATTAGTCTAACAAGGACGCCGAATACCCCTTCAGCTAACAAGGAGGACGAACACCCCTTCGACCAAGGATGAAGCCGAACACCCCTTCGGCCAAGGAGGAAGTTGAACACCCCTTCGGCCAAAGGGGAAGCCGAACATCCCTTCGGCCATAAACCCGACCGACAAAGGTCAGGGTACGGCCATAGAGGACCCCTCTGACTAATCAATACTTAAAACTAATTAAAGAACATCAATCCCCAATTACCCATATCCCAAGATAGAAGGCTCATCAGGCTCAAACAGGTCATTATAAATACGTGGGTGATGGGACAGAAACAGGTATGATTATTTAATACAACAGCCTTTATTGCTCAGTACCGAATACTTACTTGACCGTCGATGTGCCTTTGCAGGTACCCTCCCCACCATTTGGAGACAGGACTTAGCTTGTATTTCGAACTCAGAAGACTAATCAAGAAGGAGGAGAGGAGGACTGTTCTTAACAGGAACAATTATGATGAAGCTTACATATTTATGTTGAAAAAAATAAAGAAGGAAGCTTACCTATAAAGCTCGATAAATCACGTGGGACAAAATAAAGAAGGAAAATTTCTTAAATTATAGTAAATGCTAATTATGAAATGAAAAATGATAGTGTCCAAATTCTTGTTCCGAAAAACATTCCAAAAGATTAAAATATTAACTTAAATTATAAAATATTAAATTAAATAATTATTTAATAATAAATTTATTAAAAAATATTAATATTTTAAAGATTCGGACAATATTTCAAACGAAAATTCGGAGGATGTAACACAACTCTTATGAAATTGTTCATGAGCTCACTTTTTTCACATGTTTTTCGCAACTAGACAAAAAAAAAAGGAGAAAAGGGTGGTTGTCTTTTAGTTTGACCCTGAAATATGTAAATATTTTTTATTTACATAAAATTATAATCATCACAACAAAGTTTAAATTTAAAACTCTACACACCAGTTAGGCGATCGTATTTCATTCGTAAAATGAAGTTAAGGTTTGGCAGAGGCAACTTGACTAATGTTAAGTTTTGCCACCTGAAACTTTCGTAAAATACATGAAATTTGAAAGCTATAAGGAGTAACTTTTGTGTTAGACATAGAGTTAACTAACCGCCTTATGATGCAACGGATCCACATCCGGCCAAAGTTTTTGCGTATAGATTTAGCGTTCTCAATTCTCCTTCATTTTTTATGTGAAAAATTGACCATGTTATCCAAACATTTTATAAGTTTAGGTTGGGAAAAATCCATACTCTGAATTTCTTGGTTTTGACCAGCTTTTCGAGAAATTTATAAAGTATCGTGCTCACATATTCTTATTTATCTATTATTAAAGAGGGTATATTTTTTACCATTATTTTAAAACTAGTTAAAATAAAAAGGACAACAAAGAAATGAAAGGTAAAATAGGACTCATTCCAACATGTGTTATGTTGTGTCCAAAATAGCAATTATATCATCATTTTTTTCTTTTTCTTATCCATGAAATTTTAAGTCGATACTGAGAGTTTACAACAACTCATTCCATGAAAATTCCTTCACTTTTTTTTTTCTTCTCAATTCTATCCATCTAAACAACATATATTTCCTATTTTATTATTCTTTTTGTTTTTCTCTATTTCACTTGGCAAACAAAATATTGGGGAATGGCTTTGCACCGTATTTTCTCGCTGTCAAGTGCTAAACAAACAAGCGATAAATCCCCCCTACCCCACCGGGGAACTTGCTGAGACAGAAATATACGGCACAATCTATCTTGTACCACGCAAACTTGAGGTCATGAGCTGGTACTGGGCCCTGTCTAATGTTAGCAGCTGCTTAAACTTACTGGTTAGCAAATATTAAGCCAACCAGCTCGGCCAGCTGCAATCGAGAAAACAACTATTCACAAATTCCAACCCCCCACCAAAGAACAGGTACCAGGAAAAAAAAATTGAGAAAACAAAAATAAATTTATCCCAAATTTTGATGAATTAAAAACATATTTAAGCAATACAAAAACTCTATCTGCCATCTTGCAGGATGGCTAATTTGACAGAATATTGAATTGTAGAAGAATCTACTTACCGGTATAGAGAATAAAAACTTGCGGAAGAATATTGAATTGTAGAAGAATCCACTAATATTCAACGAAAATAAAAACTCCTACCGGATAAAGATAATATCCAGGCCATTCCAGTAATAAAATAGAGAATTCTTGTTCTATTCATTGAAGCAACATAAACATTGTTAAAGCAATAGGAATATTCAAAGAAAAGGAGTCATTCAAGAGTATTGTGAAATCAAAAGACTTATTCAAATAACATGAAGCATCATGAAATAGGTTTTCCTGGAAGTTACTCCCTAAATCCCGAGCATGTGATGATGCAAAAAATAAGTTCATCCACATTTAATTTACAACAATACGTTCCTATTGAAGCTGATTCCTGACCAACAATCTATGTAGCAATGTGATATACACAATAATACTATATGCTGGGAAACCCTCCCATATAAACAAATTAAACTGAAAACTCAACACTAAGTTTTTTCATGTTACAACATTTTTATTGGTCCAAAATAATACTAGCAGAGAAGTTCTCTTTCTTTGGTTCTCTGTCCTGCAAAATTGCGAAGCATGCAATATATGCACGCAAAGAATGAAATACTTACTGTTATGATAGATACATTAATATATCTTTAAGCTGCAGCAGATCGCTTGTCCTCACAATCATCAAGATTAAGAGCTCGTAGCAACTTAGGCCAAGATTCCGGGATTCCTCCAGGCAGGTTAAACTCCAATAATTTCCCTCTTCTACGGTAAAATTCCTCCACAGGCTGAGTCTGCAATCATGACAGAAAACAAGTCTTTTTAAACCAAGTAGAGAGGGAAGTTAAAATCATTCACAAAATTGTAACCATAAGCAATAGGGTATTAGAATCATCATCTTCTCAACAAATGTGCTCGGATCTTTTATAAACTCCTCATAAAAAAATAAATATACAACTACATACAAGAAGCCACTCAAGCAACTGTTCTTCCTGAAGTCCACCCAAAATAATATAATATAATGTGAGCAATACCATTTCATTGTATATTCGAAGCCTTTCTTTGACCACTGCTTCAGTATCATCTGATCGAGTAATGAGCTTTGACATACAATTCACAGGAGGAAGAAGTGGAGCCATAACCATTCCAGGGCTCCCATTCTCAGCCTTGATGTCAATGGAAGCAACATTAAAGTTACCCCCACACTGGTTGCAAATTCTCCTACCAAGGCATTTCTCAAGCAGAACATCTTCTCGGAGCTTCAGATTGATTACCAAGTCAATGTCAGTTACCCCTTCCAATATTTCCTGCAAGGAAAAAACACACAATCTGAAATGAGTATTCTATTATTTAAAGTTTTAAACTGCTTCTATGAAAAGCAATGCAACAGAATCATTGCAACTCCAACAGATAGCATAAGAGGGATGAATAAGCAGAAGCAGAGAGAAATTAGAGCTGCTTGGATGGTCAGCAAGTATCTGGGTAAACATCACAAGATGAGATACGAAATATTGCTTGAAAGATCAGCAGGTAAGGCCTTGGTATACTTAACAATGGTGGAAAGGTATCCCCAAAAATAATGACGGGATGTAGTGGCTGATTAGATGGGGAAAAAAATAGATAAGGTAGGTTGTCTGACGAAGTCATCATATTATCCTTACAGAAAAAAATTCTTCACTTTTAATTAGAAATTACATTTTCAGGTATCAAAACCCCCTATCAATATTTTTTCTCCTTGTATTTATGTAAAGGTTTAGTAAACAAAATGAGGAGTACCTATAATAAAATACACTTTACCAAAGTGAAGAAACTCACTGCTTGCTTTATTGTTCGAGGAAAACCATCAAGAATAAATCCCAATTCGCCTTTAGCTTCGGCAGCAACAAGTCTCTTTGATAATAAATTTATAATTATTTCATCTGACACCAATTGACCTTGTTTTACAATTTCTGATAGCTGTAAGAAACCAAAAGTTACAAATCAAAAGTAGAAGAAATGCTCATATGGACATAAAACAGACATCGTACCCCAACAAAGAGACGTTAATTAGGCCACAATATGTGACATTGAAATACCATAAGGTATTAACCAAGCTCATATATATTTTCACTCAACTGATCTTTACGAAGTCAAGAATAGTAAAACATCCAATGACTTGATCACTTAAAAATGGAAAGTTGAAAAAGAGAATCAAGATCTCATTTCACTAATTTGGTTTGATGAAAATTACACAAAACAACTGGTGTGAGTGACACCGTTTTGATTACCAGTGAGGTATGCCAGTCCAACAAAAACCAAAGAATTAACCATTAAGATGTCAAAGTTTCCTACATCACCAAATTGAAGACCTTAATATCCAGTTACACACACATGGATGCCACAACACAACCAAACATGAGACTAGAGCTATCAAATCAAGGTGACAATGATGACTAAACAGGTCGCCCCACCCAGATCCGTCATGTCCGTGGCATGGCAGCCAACACAGACACCTTCAATATTTTAAGAAGCCGATACTTAAACATACAGCTTATTTTATTCTATTTTATATTTTTTAAAGAGCGCCCAGGGCCCCCACCCTCTCCCCACATCGACTTGGGACAATCCAGTTAACGATCATTTAATTGAATAATTCCCATGCAGGGGAGTTGAGTCCAAAAGTCTGCTCACAAAATGACAAAAAGCCGAACAGGCATTCTTGTGCAAAGTGGGATAACGATACACACGAAGTCATCAAACTCACCAATAAAACTAGCACCTGCAAGTTCTAATAACATATACTTAAAGAGATTAATTTGTATAGACCATAAATTAATCAAAAATCATAATTAATTGAATCATAATAAATAAATAAAAAGGATATTTTAATGTAGCGGTCAACGAAATATTTTTCAACTAATAGCCCAAAATTAATTCTGCTCGAAATTTACAGATCATTGGAATAAATTGTCTTTTTTTTTTTTTGTAAGCATGGCCAGGGAATAACAACCTTTGTTAGCATACTTAAATATGTGATTAGATGATAGTCAAAAAAAAAAATCTTATTTGAACCAAGGATATTTTACCACTGCTATTCCAATACTAATTCTTTTTGAAACGCACAGACCAGTTATGTCTTTCTAATTTATTTTTTTCCATATGCATGGGCAAAGCAAAGAATCAGAACCATTGCCAGCACGCTTAAGGAATTCCGTTATTTACCAATTAACTTCGTTGGACTTTGTCGATAATATTATATATTTTTAACATCTTATAATATAACAATGATAATTATGCTCCCATTTTCTTTTAGCTAATTATGCTCCCATTTTATTTTACCTCTGCGCCGTGAATTTCAATAACCTTGACCAAATTTGCGTTTATAGAATTAAAAATTATATCAAACTACAAATTAACCAAGCAAATTAAAACTGAACAAAAAGCACGAAGAAAAAAAAAAAAAAAAAAAAAAAAAAAAAAAACGAATAAAACCTGAGAAGAAAGGGGGCCAGAGGAAGCGAGTTCGTCGCGAACGAGATCGCCGGTGGCGATGTGAGGCACTCCGAGGAGGCTGGAGAGGCGACTAGCGTACGTGCCTTTGCCGACGCCGGGGCAGCCCAGGAACACCCACTGCACGCGCCTGTCGCTCGGATCCTCGCGCGTGGGAAACCGCGCGGCGGCGTGCGGCGGCGCGTGAGAGTTGACTTGGCACGAAATCAGGCATCTCCTGGCGAGGGGAGAGAGAGGCGCGGTGGAGGCGCGCTTCGCGAGGCGGGTTATGATGGCCGCCATGGGAACTTTCAGGAGCGAGACTTGCGCCGAATGATCAACAACGTCGACGATGGATTTTTGATTACTCTGTTAAATGTGAATTCTTCGCTGTCTCAATTTATTTATACTAGATTTGTTTCTGTTATGTAAACAATATAAATATCAACTTAGATTTTACACGTCAGCATATATATATATATGCTATATAAAAGCACGTGGAAGAAATTGAAAATTTTAAAAGCAACAAGCCGTACGTGTAAAATATTCGAAAATTAAATATAAGTGGACAATAATTTTACACGTTTACTCATTAATAAATACAATTTGAAATAATTAGGGTTTTAATAAAGGTCATTTCAATCTAATGATAAGTTTTAAATATAGATAATAATTCCATCTAACTTTATTTTTCATAAAAGATATATATGGACTATGGTCTCTTAAAAATAGAGTTTTTAATGTATTGGAATTGGATGATGATTGATGGAACATTTATTCTCGGGATATTCTTACTATTTCTTCTACGTCTACTACGACTTTGTGGGGGGATTTCAATCTTTTCTTTTCCTGAAAATGGAAAATTATTTTTCTTAATTTAAATTTTTATATTAGAAATAAAAATACTAAATGGAAAAATAACTGTTAGAGATAAATTATTTTAAGGATTTGAGAATTGCGTACTTAAGGTTTGCGATTTTATTGTAGTCCATTAATCTGTTAGCAGTAGCACTACTCAGGTTTATTTTTTGCTGATGTTGTTTTTCTTCTACTCGGATTTTATTTTATTTTATTGCTGGTATTTTTAATCTGTTGTGTTAAATTAAAGTTTCATTTCCATTGAAACTAATCGCTACTTTTTTATTTACTACTTTTCTTTCTGGTTTTTTTTTTCTTCTTTTAGATCCTATAAGCAAAACAAATAAATAAAGTTTCATTTTTTTTTAGAGAATTGCTATAGTCTCTGAACGAGATTTCGAATCATCCTCTAAATAATTAAAATATTAATATTTTTAATAAATTTAGGTTAAATACCTCTTTTGGTCCCTGATAACAATTTTTTGTTTCAATTTAGTCCTATTTTAATTTTAGGTCTCAATTTAGTCTCCAATAATTTAAATCATTGCAATTTGGGACTTCCGTCTAAATGATTTAAACGGAGTTAACTGGTGGCCACGTGGATGCCACGTAGATGCCACATAGGTGGATCTCAAAATACTTGAAGACACCTGGAACCAGAACGGTCCGTTCTGAAACCAGAACGGTCCATTCTGGTTACACTAATGGTGTGTAAATTTTGTACCTGAAACGGGCCGTTCTAGTTGCAAAATTAACACACCAACAGTGTAACTAGAACGGGTCGTTCTGGTTTCAGAACGGGCCGTTCTGGTTCCAGAATTTCGTGCACAAAAAAATACCGTACAAAGTATTTCAAACACTAGATTTGGTAATATTGTTAAGGCTTAAATATGTTTTTAGTCCCTCAAATTTAAGATATTTGTTTTTGGTCCCTCAAATTTAAAACTGTTGTTTTTAGTCCCTGTAATTTTCAAAAATCTTGTTTTAATCCCTTAGGTCACCAATAACATATTTGAAAGTGACTAATTAAGACAGTTATGCAATATCAACTGGATTTAATGTGATATTTTCACTAATAGGGACATCAATAGGTAGATTTTATGCAATAATATTTGATAAATTTCTTAACAAAATTTGAATATAAGGACTAAAATAAGATTTTTTTGAAATTACAGGGACTAAAAATAATTTTAAACTTGAGAGACCAAAAACAGATTTATCCTAAATTTGAGAGACTAAAAACATATTTAAGTCTATTGTTAATGGGGATTGATAACTTCAATTGCTAAACATTTGGGCTATACAGTGTATCATTAAGGATAATGCAGTATATCACTAAGGACAATGGTAACAAGTTTTATTTCATTGTTAGTCAAACTAAAGTGAAATAATTTCTTTGAACTTTTTAGTATATGTTATGTTCTGAATTTTTGTTTTCAGTTTCTGAACCATGTTTCTGTCTTTGAATTTATGATATATTATGAATTTTTATTTTCAAATTTTGAATCACATTGCAGCATTTTAGTCAAGATTTTGAACTAGATAAGTTCAAATCAAAGAAGGATTTTGGAAGGTCTTATCTTATTTGATTCTTTTTTTCTTTAGTTTTATTCATAAATAAATATTAATTTATTGTATTTTTATTTATTATATTTTTATTAATATAGATATAATAAAAAAATATATAATAAAAGCACGTTCTGGAACGGGCCGTTCTGAATTCAGAACAGTCCGTTCTAACAGCAGAACAGCCTGTTCTGGTTTCAGAACGGCCTGTTCTGCTGCACTCATGTTGTGTTAAATTTGCATTTGGAACGGCCCGTTCCATTTGCAAAATTAACACATAACACGTGCATGCAGAACGGGCGTTCTGGTTTCAGAACGGCCTGTTCTGGTTCCAGGTGTATTCATGTCATTTGGCATCCACCTATGCATCTACGTGGCATCCACCTGGCATCCACGTCAGCAGAAATTAACCTCGTTTAAATCATTTGGACGGAAGTTCTAAATTGCAATGATTTAAATTGTTGAGGATCAAATTGAGACCTAAAATTAAAGTGGGATTAAATTGAAACAAAAAATTGTTATCAAGGACCAAAAGAGGTATTTAACCATAAATTTATTATCAAATAATTATTTAATTTAATATTTTATTATTTAAATTATTTTTTTAATAATTTGAAACACGATTCATGGATTCAGTCGGAACTTCCAGCATTTTTCTTTTTCTTTAACATATAGTGTAGCTGAAAATAATGCCTGCAACAAGCGGATCCATTGCCACATGGCAAAGAGCTTAACAAAAAAGTATAAATATAAATTTTAATTAAAAAAATATAGTAAACTTTTATTTTTTAAAGACAAAGACTCAATCCTGTAAAAAAAAAAAAAAAAAAAAAAAAAGGAGCAAAGACTCGATATCTTACAACCAATTAACCATATTGAGTTTTTTCCTCTTGTGTTTACGCCTAGTTAACATAGGCTCCCTCGACTCATTTGATCCAATATTCACATGTGTATCCAGAGCAAATCAAACTCAAACAAACAGTTGTATAAAAAAAAAAAATTTGTGTGAAAAATAATTTAACATTTTTTTTCAATTGGTTATGAAAAAATGAAAAACAAAAATTAAGATATTGAATCAAATAATTATTATTCAAACAATCAAACTTAATCATATTTCAGATTATGAGTGGGCATAACCAATTGATTTGCTAATCTAGTTCGATTTTAGATTAATTTTAACACACTTAAATTTTGGAATTAGACTTGAAACATTTTTAAGATAGACTTTATTTATATTTAGGTCATTTTAATCTAATTTAATATGTAATATTCTCTTAAAAACATGGGTGTTATTGAATTATAATGCATTAATAATAAATAATTAAATATATATATATATATATAATTATTAACATTTGTCATAACATGATATTATATATCATAAAATTATTACTTTAAAATGTATATTATAAAATATAATTTAATTTAAATTTATTTTCTTATTTTACAATTTAACATATATACTGTTAAAATTAATATAGTGTAAAAGTCATGTTGATATGACCTTATTTCATATGTTTTTTAAATATTAACATATTAAATTTAAATTTTAAAAAATAACTCAATAAAAAATCGATTTAAATTTAGATAACAATAACTCCAACCTCACTCAATTTATGATAATTCATATTTTACAAATGTAAGCTTCCAGTTGCCAAGATTGGCGATGGCAAGTCATTTTGCCTTATATATTTTCTTTGACAATATATTTAATTGAAAAAGAAAAAAAATGTAGAACAATGAAGTAAGTAAAAAAAATGTAAAGAGAATAAAGAAAAATTATATATAAAGTAAAAAATAAATAAATAAATATAATTTTAGTCTTTTAAATTTAAAGTAAATTTATTTTTAATCTCTCAAATTAAAAATTATTTTCTTAGTTCTTATAATTTTTAAGAATATTATTTCAGTCTGTCACATTACCAATAACATATTTAAAAGTGATAGGTTGAGACAGTTATGCAACACCAATTACCTTTAATGTGATAGTTTCACTGACAAAGACACTAGTGGATGTAATGACCCAACAAGTCACTACAGTTACTATAATTCAACTACAACGCAGTGAAATAAAATCAACAAATATCAATTAATCTAAGGTTATCATACGACAGGTACCTTATCTCATGCATATAGATATATGTATAAAAAATAATATTTAAAAAATGCATATTGTACATACATACTATCTAAACAAAATAAATATATACAACTGTGTACAATAATCCTACTTGTCGATCGAGCGACTAAACAATTCACATGTCACGTTAGAGTGACACCACCAAAAGTCAGCCACAGTAAAACATCCTTCGTACATCTGGTCAATTATCTTATTAATCCTACCTTACTCTCATATCAACTATAATTATAACAGTTCTAATCACAAGAAAAAAGGGTAATCTTGTGAAAACAATTAACATATAATTCAAAGTTGAACAATTTAGAACAACTACAACATGATTAACTTTAAAAAACATATAACTTTATCAACAAGACCATTTCATGTAACTCAAAACTTATATTAATATATCAATTTCATCTTAGCAACAAAAACAAACACAATCAACAATACACAACTAATGTATCGTTATGCATATCAACTATGAAAATCTCCTATAATATTGATAAATAGTTTAAGTGGTTAGACCCTACTAAACCACAATGATGACCCATCTCAAATAGGTTAATTAACAACTCCACTTGACTTATTAGATTTTACCACTTAAACTAAGAAGTTCAGTACTACCATTAAGGTAAAACAACTTAGGTATAAGCCTACTATGACATTAGCCTGCAACACTAAGTCACTGATGAGATTAGCTCATCGACTATCCTTCAAATATTATGCCTTTTTGATACTCTCTTAATGGGTAAGTTACTTTGTACTTTACATGATAGGTCATTTTATACACATATGTCTAAACCTTACCCACATACAAATACCACATAAAATCTAGAGGAGACAACTTAAAGAAACTACCCATTCAGAAGCCAACTTACTCACCGAAGGGTTTCAACCTAGACTCTCAAAGCACCACAACATATATTACACAAATGGGATATTTAATTTTTAAATCAACTCTTAATCTCCTTTAATTTTTATGTATCTTAGTAAAGATATGTCTATATACCACATGCCTAACAATTTAACAACTTAGTCAACTTTACATCAAACAATTTCACAGCTTAAACATTTATCAACTTACAACTTTACAACATAAGCATCATTATACAACATAACAACTTACACCATAATACACCATAATCATATTATTTTAATCTTACAACTCAATCAACATCTTTTACCATAAACAACCAGAGAATATCATATTTAAAACATGGAATTAGCACACAACACCATCCCATGCATGCCTGACAACATTAAGATAAAGGAGTTTCTTGTCTCGTCCACACTTGATGTCAAACTACTTGTATTCGATGTAGTTGAGGTAGTGAGTCTTCCACTCTTTCGTGCTTGGCGTGGCAAAAGCTCGTGCTTGGCCTAATCAGTCAGATAACTTCAAACTGATTTACACCCAACGTCACTCCTTTGACACCAATGTGATTTCAACATGAGATGATTTTCACTCCTCGCGTTCGATGTCATTCAAATTGCATCCAGCGGATTCCAACTTGAGACAATTCTCTTTCTTTATGCCCGACGCCACCAATCTCACGCCTTACATAAGCAACAAAGAACCTTCTGGTTGAAGTCGCGCCCAACATGACATTAGTTTTTACACTCATGTAGAAACTGAATTTGCCCAAATCAGTTGGAAATCAAAAAATTTCCAACATGCATTACATTATACCATATCTATACAACACATTTACACCATCAAAAACAACATACATTCATTATTGATCAAGAATCAACATATTTAACTCGTAGTGACTTTAAGAGAAAACCAAAAACACAACAACTCATTTTTTTTCTCCAACCAATTAAAAAATCAACAGTAAATGAAATCCAACAACAATAATCAACATGCAATTCTAACAATCAACACAAACTTCCCTTACCTCTAATTAACTAGAATTGGAGGGATAAGTGAAGAAGAACAAGCTCTGTACAACCTCTAAATTTGAGATTATAAGTTCTACAAGCTTTGAATTCCCTCTTAGTCAAGTGCTCCAACTACAAGGAAGGAAGGATGAAAGATTTTCGATGAGAGAAGATGGAGAGGAAATAGTTTATTTCAGAGAGCTTATCTCTACTTCTCTCTAGATTTTCTTGAAACATAAGTTTATGAGACTCACATCTTAAGAAATCCTTTATATGTCTTTTCTAAGTTGACTCAGCTTAACTACATCTGAGATTTTCTCTAAAAAACAACTCAACTCCTAGAGTTCATTGACTTTATAGTCCTCAACCACCACTAACAACTAATCAACCATAATCATGCAATCACTCATGATTTAATTAAACCACACAAAATCAATAGTGTTACAATAGGTGAATTTTCATGTGACAACATTTATCAAATTTTCTAATAAAATTTGAATATAAGGTCTAAAATATATTTTTTTTTAAAATTATAGGACTAAAAGATCAAATTTAAATTTGAGACGTTAAAAATAATTTTACTTTAAATATAGAACTAAAATATACAATCAAATATCCATAATAAATACTATATTTAAATATAAATAATATTATATTTTAAGCAAGTATATTTTAAAAATAAATAAATTATACAAATATATATAACTGGAATACATTGAAAGAGTAATTAATTAGGTTGAGATATTTTATACAATATCCTAAATTTAAACTTTGTTCACCTCATTGCACACCATTGCTTTTGTTTAATATTTAAACAAGTAATAACTAAATTAATAAAGCAAAGTCATTATTTTGACAAAAACATGCAGAAATATAAATTCAGGTTTTTCTTACACTCAAAAGTCAAAACCCAGTCCAAGCCCCCAAAACGCAAACTCCTCCGCGCCATTTCATGCCCATGGCCGACAACAAGAAACGGCGGCGAAAGGAGCCCACCGGCGACGAGCTCCCCTTCAAGAACAGCCTGAAGTCGGACTCCGACATCCTGAAAACCCTAAAGGACTTCTCCACGGCCTCCGCCTCCTCCTCCTCCGCCGCCCAAACCCTAACCCTCCAGGACCTCCCTCTCCCCTTCCGCTGTCGCGAGGTGGCCGACCTCTCCCTCTCCTCCGTCCAGTCCAACATCGAGTCCCTCATCCTCCGGATCGCCCACTCCATCCTCTCCGGCCACGGCTTCTCCTTCGACGTCCCCTCCCGCTCCGCCGCCAACCAGCTCTACGTTCCCGAACTCGATCGCATTGTGCTCAAAGACAAGTCTTCTCTTCGCCCCTTCGCCAACATCTCCACCGTGCGCAAGTCCGCCATCACTTCTCGGATTCTACAACTCATACACCAGCTCTGCATCAAGGGCATCCACGTCACCAAGCGTGACCTCTTCTACACTGACGTCAAACTCTTCCAAGACCAGGTATGTGTCTATACTATTCATATTATTCCCCCCTTTTTTCATCTATAAATAAGTATTGGCGTAATTGTGTTTTAGTTAGATAAATAAAGGGTACAATTTGTTTTAGTTTGATCGTTTGGTTCTGTGTATGCAAAAACATCTTTTAGTACTTAGTAGTAGTCAAGCCCTTAAATAGATCTCAGTGCTAGTAATAGTTAGGCCCTTTTCTCACCAAGATAAAGGCTAAAATGTGCTTTGCTCTCTAAATTTGGTCATAGTTCTTATATTTTAAAAACAATGATTTTGGTACGAATATATTTTTTATAATTGGTGAATTTGGTTCTAATATTTTTTCATAATTGGTGAATTCGATCTCTCATTCCTAGTAATAGTATCCTAAGTTAAATAAAGAGTGACTAAATTCATCAATTACAAAAAATAGTAGGATGAAATTACGAAAATCGTCGTTTTTAAAGTATAGGAATTATGATTAATTCTGACCGAAAATTGAGTTACCTAAAATATGTGTGGGTAAAATGTGTTTTAAGTTTTCCAATTTACTGTCAAAATTTGTCTTAGTCTCTATTTTAAAAATGATGATTTTGGTATTCGATTTTTTTATAAGTGGTGAAATCCGTCTCTCTTTATGGAGTATAAGGATATTACTGTGAGGAACAAAATTAATCATTTATAAAACAATATGAGAACCAAAGTTTTTGTTTTTAAAGTATAGAGAGTAGAGACTAAAATTTTAATAAAAAATTGAGGGATCTAAACTGTATTTTATCTATAAATAAATAATCATTCATCAATTTTCTAATGCTTTTGTTTTACAAAAGTAAGCAATTGACCAAATTTGCGTGAATCAGATCCAATCTGATGCTGTTCTGGATGATGTTTCCTGCATGCTGGGGTGCACTCGATCCAGCCTCAATGTTGTGGCTGCAGAAAAAGGGGTGGTAGTTGGGAGGTTGATTTTCAGTGACAATGGGGATATGATTGATTGCACCAAAATGGGGATGGGAGGGAAGGCAATTCCACCGAATATTGATCGAGTTGGGGATATGCAGAGCGATGCTTTGTTCATTCTGTTGGTGGAGAAGGATGCTGCTTACATGAGATTGGCTGAGGATAGGTTCTACAACCGCTTTCCATGCATAATTGTGACTGCAAAGGGGCAGCCGGATGTTTCCACTAGGCTGTTCTTGAGGAAGATGAAGACAGAGTTGAAGCTGCCTGTGCTGGCTCTTGTTGACAGTGATCCTTATGGGTTGAAGATTCTGTCGGTTTATGGGTGTGGATCAAAGAACATGTCCTATGACAGTGCCAACTTGACTACCCCTGATATCAAGTGGCTTGGGGTTAGGCCTAGTGATTTGGACAAGTACAAGATACCTGAGCAGTGTAGGTTGCCAATGACTGAGCAGGATATTAAGACTGGCAAGGACTTGTTGGAGGAGGATTTTGTCAAGAAGAACCCTGGTTGGGTGGAGGAGTTGTCCTTGATGGTCAAAACTAAGCAGAAGGCTGAAATACAGGCTTTGAGCACCTTTGGTTTTCAGTACCTGTCAGAAGTTTATTTGCCCTTGAAGTTGCAGCAGAAGGATTGGCTGTGACCTGTGAGTAATGTAGTAATATCTAAGAATTAAAATGGTGGTTATGTTATGCCAATACTTGTTCCAACAGCTTAGTCATGCGGTAGCATCTCTGCGGAATTTATACCGGAATGTGGATGTTTTTAAGTATGCTTCATTGAAAAATTGTTCAAAAATCATGTTGATGGTCTATGTTTTTTCAGACTGAGTTTATGGTTTTCTTACTGTTTTCTTCTTCTTGCATCAGATAATAGGGGACCAAATTTATTAAATTATAAAACCCTAGCGCTTTTGAATCATTTGAGTTTCCTATTATCTTGCTTCTAATTCTGGACTGAAAGCATTATAGGTTTCTAGCAATTGTTTCCAATTGCTATTAGTACAAGTTTATTTGCCCTTGAAATTGCAGCAGTAGCCACTAGGATTGGATGTGACCTGAGTGTGAGTAATGTAGCAATATCTAAGAATTTAATTGGGTTATGCCACTAGTCCCAACAGCTTTGTCCTGCTGTAGCATTTCCCCCAATTTACACTGGAACGTGGATGAATTTTTAAGTATCCTTCTGTGAAAAATTGTTCCAGAATTATGTTGATGATCCATTTTTATTCTGATTGAGTTTATAATTTTCTGTCTTATTATTTTCTTCTTGTTCTTCCATCAGTAAACGAGGGATCAAGTTTATTAAATTGTAAAAGTTGAGTGCATTAGAATTGCTTGAGTTTCCCTTGATCTTGCTCCTAATTCTGCACTGAAAGCATTGTAGTTCTCTAGCAATTGTCTGGTTAGTGATAGTGCTGCTTGGAAAAAAGATACTCAAAAGCTACCCCTCCTTGACCGAGATTTAAAGTGCTTCAACATTTTTCTTGGTGAAGGATATCATCTGACTTTGGTTTGGCTAAACTTGGCTGAGGTAAAAACTCATCTATCAAAAAGGATTATGGCCTTATATACACCTGTGTTACTGTGCTCCAGGGTAATGCAATGACAAAATCATCTGACTCATCAGATATTTATAGATTTGGTTAGCTTGTCTGTATATAATTACTAGAAGGAAACAGTTTAGAATTAAAAATCTGCTGGAGAGCATAATACTATTGTATGGGTAAGAAACTCGTACTGTTATTTCATCCACAGGTCTGGCTCATTCGAAAGCAGGAGAGTAGAATCATGTATTGTCAAAATAAACATTGGTGATATAGCATGTGGATAGGGGATTGATTCTCTGTCTATCCGGATGGAGAAAATTTTGTTGAGAGATACAAAATTTATTTTAATGATCTCTATGTTTAAAAAAAGAAATAGTTTCCGACTAATGATTGATCAAGCCAATTAAAAGTAACAACTCTTAATTTAAAATAGCAAAGAATGATATTTAGGACCAATTTGCATCTCTATAAGCTAATAAAATGAAATTCATTCAAACCTGCTCATAGTTTAAGATTGGAGAGTCCTTTCGGTTAATATTTTATTCTTCGAATTTATTCCATTCTTTAACGGCCCTTTTTGATGCTCCTTTTGTTTTCTTCCCCTGATAATAAATTCTTCTAGTAAAAGTATTTTTTTTAACTGTTATGTTGAAGTAGTAAAGCTAATGGTAAAAGTTTTGCAATCCCATAGACTTTTTTAAAACTAAACTTTTAAAGAAAATTTATCAATGGGGGAGAGG